CCCCAAAACCCCAAAACCCCAAAACCCCAAAACCCCATGGACTTTGAAAATAATAAATCTCAGTTAGAGATGCTTTTAAAATTTTTAATTTCAAAAATAATTCAAGCTCATTAATATAGGAATAATACATAGAAAATTAATTCGCCTTATCTGTACTTATCAGGTACTTTCCAAAAGCTTTTAAGTTTTTTCTATTTCTATAAAAATTCTCTATTTTTGCACATGATTAATTCCACTTAAAAATCGAAATTTTCCTGATTAGTTAATATATTGCTCATCAACATGTTCTTCATAAATTTAGTCATTTAAAGCTGATACCTCAATATGATTTTTTAATTTCTTTGCTAAGTTATGAAATTACGACAATTTTTTAACTCTGCTTTATTATCTTGAATTTTGCTGGGCAGAAGAAGGAATTTATTTATATTCACATGATTAAACTTAGTTGTCTTTTAAGTTATCAATCTGATCATCTTAAGATACTTTTAAAAGCAGAGGTTGTACTTTTACTTCTTCTTTTAAAGCTAATTCTGATAACAATTTTGAGAGCTTTTTAGGGTTAGATTGTATTTTTTCTAAGGCATAATTTTCAAAACCATAATTTTCAGCTCTGCTATTAATAACCTGAGTAAAAACACCATTCTAGCTCAATGATCCTGCTAACTAGCCGAAATAATGAGGCGACTTGGATACAGCATTTCTTTTTTATGTAATTATATCATAATAGCTAAAGTTATAACTTTCATTTCTTGATTTTATTCTTTAGTTACTTGAGAACCTTGATTAATATGGACTTATTCCAGATAATCTTTGCTAGAAACTTATTCTTGCATTCATTTGAGACCCAGGATCATCACATTACTGATTTAATTAGCTGGCTTAGATATCATACTTTCTTTGATAAGTTTATGTCTAGATTTACTCATTAATTATCAAAGCAGCATCTAATGCTTCTCTATCTCCTTAAAACCATGGATGCTGGAGTGCTTCCTTAGCTGTAGGACGATGCAAAGGATTTTTTTACAACAATTTTAGAAGCAAATCTCTTCCGTCATTACTAAGTGAAGTAATATACTTGAAAATGTGATCAAGACTGCATATCCTATTAAGAAACAAGATATTTTAATTTACCGAACTTTAAAATAAGTAACGACCAGTTATTAAATTATACATTATTGAGCCCAAACTAAATATGTCTACTTTATGATCATATTTAAATCCATCTAAAATTTCTGGGGCAATGTAAGTTGGAGTACCACACTTATCCTATAGTTTTTCATCATGAGTATACATATAGGCAAGACCAAAATCAGCGATTCTTAAATCATAGTTATTTTTTTATTTTGAATGCAGCAGTATATTACTTGGTTTGAGGTCTCTATGTATAACATCTATTTAATGCATATAGTCAACTGCAAGTAAAAGCTATCCCATGATAATTTGCAAATCTTTTTCTATTATTTTCTTTTATTCAATCAGAATATCCATTAAATTCCCTCCTTTTTGATAATCAACAAATAGATATATATTATGATTGGATTCGTAAACTTTAAAGAGAGTCAGGATATTTCCACAGTCTTATAATTTTCTATGGGCCTCAATTTCTCTTCTTAACTGATTGATTGCCACTTTATTATTTAGTAAGGTTGACTTTTTTATTTATTTAATAGCAGTTTATTTAAGTTGGCGACGACTACTTTCATTTATTGTTTTATATTTTTGAGCTAATTTGACCACTGCATTACCTCCTTGACCCAGAATTTTTACAAATTCATATGATTTAGGCTCTTCTAATCTGATAATATAATTGTCAAAAGCTTAACCCCATTGTTTAAAACTACTTATATCATCTAAAATTAGGTTATAGGAATGATCATTGTAGATTAACTAGAAATTATAATTTCAATCTTATGTTTCAATTATTGTCGAACTCTTTCGATAATAGCAAAATTGAATATCAAGATATAACTCTGTTTGCATTTTATCTTTATTTCCAAAGCTTAAACACTGATTTTATTTATTTTGAAAAATAACTAATTTCCCTTAGTATAGTCCAATATATTTTTATATTATCAAATCTATATTCTCTTTGTCTAGATTAATCTTGAATGAATCAAATAATTCGCAATCACTTTTTGATAGACTTTAAAAATCTGTATTAATTGTTTATTTGAAATCAAAACATGGATCAGTTCTAAAGTTCAAATAATTTGAGAGCAATAAATTTTCTATATCTCTATTCTTTGTAGTGATCATTATAGAATTTTAATCTTGGAAGAATAATAATGTAGTCAAAATTATTAATCTGCTATATTATAAATTGAGCTCTCCTAAGTTTTAATTTTTGATTTTTAAGCCTCTAAATTAAATTACATTCTTCTTAATGCTCACATATCTAATCTTACGGGGTTTTGGGGTTTTGGGGAGATCGGAAGAGCGTC